TAATTGGATACGGCTCTCTAAATTAAATGAACTTTCTATCATTTTTTAAAGTAATTCAATAACTTTGAACGGCAATATTTAAATTTGATTGATTTTGTTGATTCATTGAAAGATTTAAATTCGATTGTTTTAACAAAAAAAAAAAAAAAGAATTTGATATTTATATAACGTACGTTTAATTTAAGTATTAAATTTTAATAAACCAGCAATACGTTGTCACATTTCAAGAAGAAAATAAAAATAAAAAGAAGAAGAAAGAAGACTTCTCAGATTATTGTAAAGTGTATTGTGTCATGGTAGAAGTAAAATGTAAAAAGTTCTCGTGTTTCATCGTTGAACACCGTAAAGCACAGTTTAGTTCTTCGTAATTCTCTCTACGTTTATCGCTTTAAGTTTACGCAATGGACACGAGAGCATCAATCATTGTGTATGGTACAGGTAAGCGCGTACGATTCCTTATTCGTATAAATACCTATCTAAAGGAAAATATTCTTTACCCAGGTAAGATGCGATATTACAATTATACTACCTATCTCAAGAGTAAAGTTAGATGAACATCTAAACGTTCGTGTACGTGTCTAACGATTGAATTGGATGATGGATTTCCTTAGCCGAATATAAATTCGAATCCGTTGCACGCGATAGAAATTATATTCGTATAATTTTGTTAATTTTTAAATAGGAATTTTAATAAATTCAATTATAAATGTATTTTTATTTCAAATTTTAATATAATACCGCTTATATTTTAATAAGTCCGGTTTGGAAAAGTATCATTTTTAAAAATGAGTATTTAAACATATTCTTTCGTTAAAAAGCATTCATTATTTCTTCAGGTTAGAATGGAACTAAGAAACGTAATTAAACGTTACTCCAATCGGACTTATATAAATTACGTAAATTATACGGAGGTAAGGTCCAGCGTACAAGCCGTTCGATATTTTATTGCTTATCGCAGTGCATGTCATTTTTATAGCGACTAAATGTTGCCGGTCGACTTTATCTCGTTACTATAAGACGATAAAAATAGTGTGACGAATGAAAGTAATTAGTCAAATGCCGATCTATTCCCCTCCCACCTTTTTACTAGCCTTATTCCACCTATTCATATGCTTACTTATTTATACTTACGAGTTAGCTAGTATATATGTATACATAAAGACAGTCCTTCCTTTTTTAATAGCAATTCCTTACATTTCGTTCTTGCACGATCTCGAAGTAAAGATAATTCATACAACGAAACTCATTATTTTTCTAGATGTTCGGTAAATAAAACGAAAATAATATAGATTCAATCTTTTACTATCTATGCATGTATATATGTGTATATGTACACATATGAACTATGAAGATAGTACGGAAACATAAAATAGGAAGTTTCAGATCGTTAATCAGGTATTCTGTAAATCATTTTCATTTTTATCGTATTATCTTTTATTTTATGAATATGAAGGTAGAAATCTCGATTTCTTAAAGTGTTTATTTCAAATTATTGTTTAACGATTAAGTTTACTGCATTATCAAATGTTCGTTAAGGTAAAATTTTATCTTGATACACGAGAGACAGATTAAAACGAATAAGAATTTAGAAAAGAAAATGTTAGTAGTGCTTTGTACTTTGATTATCGTAGAATTATTTTAATCACATTAGTGTTCCAGCTGCGAACTACACACACACACACGCGCACGCGTATATGTATATATAAATGTATGTATATATGTGTATATATAGGAAGGTCCTGTTAGGAAAAGGAGCTCTCACAAAATCAATCTTGCGTCTAATGGAAAGGTGGTCCTCCCACGGGACCAACCACCCCCCCTTGACTCGCGAACTACCCTCCATCCTTTCTATTGCTTCTGTTTCGTGCTCGCTTTCTTTCTTTCTTTCTTTCTTTCTATAAATATAGTTTTATTAACCTAAAACGCTAACGTAAAATCTCATCGATGTTAAAAGACGCCAATTTACAAAGTTATCAACTGTATTTTTAACGACTCTTTTATTCCAAGAAAAAAAGAAGAAAAAAGGATTTTCTTTTTTACAGAAATATAAATTATTTTGAATTATTTCGAATAATTAAAGAACTTCGATTATTGTTTTGAAATTTATTATCATATTGTTCTCGTAAAACGTTTAACAAAGTATTAGAAACAAGTACGTAATTAATATTAGTCACTTTACAAAGTTATTAACTGTATTTTGAAAAAACTTTTATTTTTAGCAAAAAAGAAGATGAAGGAAAACGATATGATTACAATTATAATTCGCATAAAAATATTAAAAATTATTTCTAAAAACTCTATACAATTTCAATTATATTGTATTTAAATTTATTTTCAGATATTTTCAATCGAACATTTAATGAAGTGTTAGAAACAAGCATGTAATTAATGGTATTACATTTAAATGAAATGAATTAGAAATCGTTTATGACACTTTAAAAATGTACATTAGGTTTCAATTCGGTTTGATAGTCATCAGAAAGGAAGTTATGTATGTGTATATAACGCAAGCAAGGACATAGGTATATAATAAGACAAAAAGTAAAATAATCGACGTTACGGAGATCGATATCTTGGTAATTAGACATCCGTTTGCCAACTAGACTGGCGATGGGCATAGAAAGAAAAAGAAAATAGAAAAATAAAAAGGAAGATGGTCGTACAAGTGGAGGAGGCATACTTGCTCGCGAACATCACGAACTATATATACATATATAATATATATCTAACAAGTATTACTATCATCTACATCGACTGTACACCTGCACGCATGTGTCAATTTTCTGCCTGAGTTCATTAATATTCTTTCTCGCTATCCAAGACATTTTCAAGAGTACTTAAGGGTCAAGGACCGTGGGTTAAGGCCGTTCGATAATCGAGTACCATTTTTCAACGAAAGTTTCGATCTCTTTTTCATTTTAATTACATATTTCTTCAATCATTTATTAATATTTATAATAATTAATATAAGTACATTTATTTTTTTTTTTTTTAGCAAGTTTGGATGAACGTATAATTATCGATATGTTTAACACTAAACCGTACCCCACATCCTATTTGAAATGTTTAATTAAAATTCTACATTAAATATTATTAATTTTATTTATTATTCAAGCCAGTACCAAGTACACACATTTACTATTATCATATTCAATAGTAATAAATATAACTGTTGTTTAAAACCAGTCACTTGACTAGTTATGATGGAAATAGGTATGCATACACTATCGTATTAGGTTCAGTGTTAAAACGCGATAGTAAAAATATGTACGTGTGTATATATGTATGTGTGCGTGTGTACATATAATTTATATTTATAAGACTTAGGCGTATTTTCTTGTTGGACTTCCCCTAACTCATAGTCGAAGAATATTACATAAAAATCGTGAAGAAAGGAGAGCTCGTAAATCTAAGTCCGCCGTTAGAAGAGGAGAACAGTGGTCGTTGTTGAAAGTAGTAGGGGAAGTACGGCGAGTGTCCTTTATAGCATTGTTAACAACTAATGTATGCGTCCCGGATACTCCAAACCCTCCGCATTTAACATTCTTTAACATTATTATACACATGGCGCCTGTCTGAGTACTCTCCACACGTTTTTCTCCCTTTACTTCCTCCCTCCTTCTTCCTCAACACCATCACCACCATCACCACCACCACCCATCCACACTCACTATCTGTCTGTCTCTTTTTCTCTATCTTTTTCACGTCCCTTCGTTCGACCCTTCGCGCCTTCGGGGAAAGATTTTTGTCAGTTTTATTTAACTGCAACCACCGAAGGAATCCTTTTTTTCTTTCCTTTTCTTTTCTTTCATTTTTATCCAACCCCATATATTCCTCGTACCTCTATTCCAAACTCAAGATATCGACGGTTGCCCGTTTTCACCAACTTTTATAATCCGGTCACGTTTTAAGACTTAGCTGAACGCTGTAATTTCGTGAAAGGAACACCTTGCTAACTTGCTTTAGATGCTACTAGAAAGAGAAATACTTATACGGGACTTTTTTTTCTTTTCATTTTTCTTACATTTTTTTTTTTTTATTTCTAACCTTATCCTATTCGACGTGTCGTAAGAATCAATTACTTTTAAATGTGCACACGCGTACGCATGTTTATGTGTGGGTTGTATTGCGGTATTTCTAAGTAACATAGATACGTTCGTTGATGTTGCGCTTAAGAATAGATAGGTCTGACTGGACATTGACTACTTACAGTGTCAAGTATCCATGGCTATCAACCATAATATATAATACCTACAATACCTACATATATTATTCGCTCTATTTGTCAATGTTGCCAACGTACATGTATAAATAATTAGTGGATAGGTCGTACGTTAAGAAATGTTCATTATGAATTCTTCGTGAAGTCAGATACTAGATATCGATATATTTAAAATGTAAAAGAGGCCGCCATGTAGAAAAGGAAGTGGGGAAAGGGGAGTAACAGTAGTATCGATCGATCGTGGTTGCTTAATTACCGATATGCTGAATTAATAATTAATAATTTTTGTTGTTATATTTTTCTTTTTTCTTTGTGTTACTTTAGAAAACCGTAGGTAGGTAGGTAGAGAGAGAGAGAGAGAGAGTTTATGAAAAAAAAATCAGGTGGTGGCTATCAGGGTCTCTTTTGCAATGTCGATTAATTATACTCGTTCGGTTTTAACATACCAACCGACTTACCGAGACGAACTTACCTTTCGATAATAATTATTTTCAACGTGTAAGAAGTATAATATTATTTGAGTTTTGCTTGCTTTTTAAGGGATCTAATTAATCAATAATCTTGGAGCACGATCTTGGAGATACATACGGTTAGAAAGAAAAATGCTAACAGGAAGCGTCGAAAGGATCGAGGCTAATTAAAGCTAAGCCAGGATATTAGTTAATTTATCGTCTCGGTGCACTAACCGCGTCACTACTCACTAATACTTTAAAACCTACTGTTCTGATATACATATATTGTATATATTATAGAATATTCACACTATCAACGCCGTCACGTTCGCTTTTCTTAGAGACCATTTCCTTTAGATTTCTGTCGATTTATTATATGCTACTCAATAACTCATGGCTAATAAGTCTCGATGAAATATTCCAAGAATGTTCCATTCCTGTCAAAGATTCGACGTGATTTACTTTTCAAATGAATGTATAAATAACAAAAAAAAAATTATCTTCATTATTAGGTGTAGCAATTAATTTGTTGCTTTTTAAACAAATTTATTATATACTTATCTAGTAATCATACATACATCTGTTAATCTTCAAAATAGACTACATTATTTTGTATAATTTTTCGGTTCGTCTTTCAGGCAACTGCTTAATTTCTTGATGAAAAAAAAACATGGCGATTTGAATTGTTTTACCCACACGTATTCAACATATCTATCGTGTTAAAACATAATTAGGTTTATATATATATAAATAAAAAGAGTTAAATCTAATCAATATATATGCGATATTTTAAAGTCGTTTAAGTAGAATAAAGTGTAGGTAATTTGATTGTAATTAAGCATTGGGTCATACCCCAAGTACATAATGCATACAATTAGAGAAGAGAGAGAATAAAGAGAAGGTGAGAGAACCGTGGACCACCGCTCGAGGTAAACGGGTGGCCAGTGGTCGCTTTAAACAATTATCACGAGGGTCGGACCTTGCGTGAGTCGACAAGGGTGATAAGTTATTGCGCTGAGGGGTAGCTTAGGAAGTGAGACGAGCTTGAGTCTCGTCGTTTGAACGGTTACAAAAGGGTAATGGCATTATTAGATATCATTTCGATATAAAATTTTATAAAGTTCATAAAAATTTAACTCATTTTTTTGTTTTTTTTTTTTTTATATTATCACACCTATGATAAATGTAAAACAAAAACAGTAAAATACTTTTGATTTTTGTTGCGTTCATCAGAATTTACTTGAACAATACTTTCTAACAATACGTACAATCAAAACGAATAGGTTAGGTTTAACTTGGTAGGCTTGTTCTGCCATTTAATTCCTAATCGAGCAGAATTGGAGTTCTGGATGAGCTGGCAGTGGTGCCAAACCGAACCAGTTACACGAGAACGGATCTAACACTATTCCGAAGGACCCTGGCTCACGATGGAGTCCTTCCACCACCAGAACCATTTCCTTTCATTCCAGGCAATATTTCTTTTCGCGAGTCCCCCCACAGGGTCCTTTATCTAACAAGGAGCAAATCATTTCCCTATTATTTGCTCGCTATCGCGCTCTCGCTTCTCCAGACTTCCTCCGGGTTCGTTTTCCTCGTTCGAGTATTCAAGCTCTCTCTCTCTCTTTCTCTCTCTTTTTTTTTTTTTTCTTCTCTTACACTCTTTCTATATCTTTCCTTTTCTCGCCAGTATATTTTCTGGAGGCCATCCAAACCCTATCCATTGTGGTGGTTCGAGGACAGAGCTCCGTTCTTTTCCTTTCTTTCATTTTCTCTCTCTCTCTCTTTCTCTCTCTTTCTTTTTCTTTCTTTTTTCATCCTTCTTTTCTCGTATGCTTTTTTTCTCTTACGTTTCTTCCCTTACCATTTACCTTAGAATCTTGTATAAATTTTTATAATCTACGAGCACGCTATCCATGGTAAAAATACGACGATATTCTTTACCCCCTTTTTCTAGTTAATATATAGTTGATAGTATAGTATATGAGTAAATACCAATAGAAACAAAAAATCGGTCACGTAAATCATCGATCGCAAAGTCATCTTCGACGAACGTCATGCTTTTCGCTCAAACCATTTTCTATCGTTCATTTTTGAACGTTTTCGATGTTATCTATAACGGTATATATATATATGTGTGTAGATACGTTACACCCTGGACCATTTCAATTTGATTTTTCAAGCGACCGCTACCGATTTCATCGTGCGGTGTAATCCAAAGATCGATATAGAACACCATTTGCTTTGTCATCCTTGGGAGGGGTAGATATAGCCGAGTTAGATATACGAAAAATATGTTTTACTAATAGTTAATATTTTTCATTAATTATCTTTTCAAAAATATTTGATCTTAATTTCATATTTTATTGACTACATTGACACAAAATGATACTTATATTAAATACACCATCTGTCCCTTCTATGAGAAGGATAAACAGTTATCGATCACTATAGACCTATCAATCAATATTTTGTTCCATTTGTAATAATACAAACTTACAATTACTCTATTAAAAATGATCTATTTGTTTTAGGATATATCATATCAGAGGATTACTTTGATCGTTAATATAATAATAGATAATATTGTCGTGTTTATCTTTAACATAAGAAAATCTAACAGATTAGAAATGAAAAGGGGTAAGAGGGTCGTTGGACTTTAACAGTAAAGTCCGTCCCATTGATTTTTCGAATAGAGGTCGAAAGCATGACTCGCAGATCGTAGCTTTTGGTGGCTCCCACGCAAAACTCTGTACATGAACGTGAACGTGGACATAGACGTGGACGTGGACGTGAACGTAGGCAGCTATCCAGTTCTGGTCAGCCAGCTAGCCAGCCAGCCAGCCAGCCAGCCAGCCGGCTGGTCGACCAACCGACGGACGGCTGACTGCCTTTCTGATTGATGATCGCTACTGGACTCTCCGGCGCAATGCATACCCTACCAACAAATACATCCTCCACCTCCATCCTTTTATCCAACGAATCCAAGTCCCAACCACCCTCTACTACCCTTTTCGTTCACGCTGAACGCCGCCGATTCATTCTCGTATCGCGCGCCTCCACCCTAATCTCTTTACACGATTCAAACAACACCTTGTTCTACTACAGGACGAACTCGCTCGAGGAACTCCGCACTTTCAAATTTATTGCTATCCACCTACCGCGTGTTACGTTGCTTTGGTTATATGTTTCTTATCTGTATAATCGTTCCTACATTCTACTTTACTAATACCGATTATCGTTTATATTAATAGCCACACGTTATTGCGTACGAATTTGGTTAACTCGATAATACGATCAATTTTTATTAGAATTGGTGGTTAATTCAATTTTATATCGAAGATTATTTAAATCCTTTGTATACTCCTTTAATTTTAGATTCAAATATTTGACATTATTTTAGAAATAGCGTTGTATAATGCATAAGAAATGTGATAGAAATGGTAAGGATTAATTTTTTAAAGAATATTTTTATTTTTTTAATTACATTCGATACTTTCTCTATTTTGTAAATATCGATAAGAGTGGAAAATATTTTTCTTGGAGAGATATTTTAATTGTAATTAAAAATATCTTCATTTGTTTGGGGGATGGGGCAGGGGAGAAGTCAACCTTTCGAAAAAGCAGACAAAGTTTGAAGGTCGTAGAAAAGTCTTTAACATCCGAGATGCAAAGGGGGATCAGTAAAGGTAATTGCACGGCTTAATAATGAACTCGCAAAAGCATCTTCCGTCGGTAGTAACTCCGGGGTGTTTGATGTCGCATAGCTTTTTATCGGCTACGTGACATTTTATAAACACAGGCTTTCGGGCGTCGCCGGATTAGCCCGTCGCAGGAAATCTTTTAGCGCGTCGTGCCACTGCTCCTAACGACTAATTACTCCCGAACGATCTCACCCTCAATTCTATTCTTCCTTTCTGTCGAACTATCAACACTAGAGCAATATTTTCTTCTTTGAGATGAAAACAATTTTGTCAGTTCATAAATGGATAAATAAGCATTGAAGACATAAAAATTATATTTATGTAAATCAAAAATAATATTTTATGATTCAATAATAATATATATTTCATTTTACTATCATAATTTTTTTTTAATTTATTAATAATATACCTCTGCTATAAAAATATTAATTTTGTTGTAATAATCATTGTGTTATATAATTTAAGTAAAATATTTATTCCAACTTTTTATCTCGAAACATAAGTACAGTTTATGTAAGTAGATAAAAAAAAAAACGTTTACATGTGTGTGTATATGTATATGCGTGTGTGAATCGAAGTTGAGTCATTACGTTTATTACAGTTTCACGAGTATTGACTTGATTACGTCAAAGAAAAGAAAGGAGAAATAGGTTCACGTCCATTCGCACGATACTTTGGCACGCTTCAGGGAAAATTGAATATTGACCAATATTGCGAGTTACTCGTCCATCTAAAATGTTCGTGAGTTTCTGCCGACTTTATGTATCTCGAACGTGTTGCTTCAAAAAAAGATGCATCAAACTACCCGAAGTATAAATTTATTTATCAAAATTGCAACACGTTTCTAATCCAATTTTCACTCAACTTTGATTCTAAATAATATTGTATAATAATACCAAAGAGTTTGTAATTACAGTAGAATTCCAAATTCACGTAATCAATGTCAAGGATTGAAAAAGTTTAACCGTGGAATCTAGAAACGATTACTTCATCGTATTCAATAGTAATTTCAAATAATTATACTTCAAAAGATAAAAAGAGCTTGGCGGTATACAATTATTTAAATAACACGGAAATTATACAGCAGGTATGACGTTATTACTGTCGTCGAATTCACGTGATCGAGGTAGACGGGTTGACTTTTATGAAAAATGAGATTGATCAGTGATTTCACAATTGATGATAACGCCTACGATTGAATTAGGATTTAATCATATTTTCGAGAAACTTGTAGTCGCAATTTTAGAGAAAGTTAAAACAAGTTATACCAATTGGTTCTTGATCTTTAACGCTAGATCTTAAATTCTAGTTTCTGTTTTTTTTTCTTTTCTTTTCGTAAATTTTTTATTTGACGTTCATACCCAACATCTAACGCGCATAGTGTTTCTCGCGTAATCGAGAAACTGGCATTTATTTCTTCTCGCGAGATCCAGTGGACCTGTTGACCATAATGGGCCTCACAGCGAGATATAAAAAGTTTTCAACTCTACAGGAGCAGAAGCCGAGGTTTCTTCCGAGCCGATGGTTTACCTTCATAATACAAACTCCCTAGTCATTCGATGATCAAAGTGAGTGCCGCTCTCTGTCTCTTTCTTTCTATTTCTCTTTCTCATTCGTTCTTCCTTATTCT